TATAGGAATAGGTAAAATACAAAGACCACATTTTATTTCTCTTCATAGAATGTACACTGTATAGCCCTGGTCTCACCTAGGAGAAGCTCAATAAAAATTTGAAATCAGTTAAATTCACATTTTAAAATCTTTAGGACTTATATATATTTTCTATTTCTACTAATTATCTGACATGATTCTGGCCCCCAAACATTACATATATAGTACTCTGTCTTCCCTGTGTGTATGGGTGGCTGGTGATGGACTAGGGCTTGAGTGCTAGGGAGGCTTTCTTCACTAAGTTACATCCCACTCATGCCTTAGGTTTTGAAAGCAATACCTTAGTAACAGCATTTCAAAAACAAAGGATTGAAAATAGAAATACAGGTAGTGCTGGATTTCTCATTACCAGGCATATAAGTCACTCAAGAATATTGATGAATGAATAAATGTGGTGGTTCAAGTATTTAATCTACATTGGTTTGAACATGAACAGCAAATGTCAGTGAGTGTCACTTGGAATAATACAGAAGGAAAGCAGATGCAAAGGATTTCCCAATGTGAGTTCACTTTGATCATCTTTTAAAGGAGGACATTGACTATTATCTTTAAAGCACTTTCAAAACCTGCTTTTCTCTAATGAGCTATTTGATTATATAAGGCCAGGCTGATACGTTAGAAACATTAGCAAGAGTTAGACTTGGGGAATTTAAAGAGTAGAACAGAATATTAACAAGCACTTGTTCTTATTTTACTTTTGTTACCACAAACAAATTTACTTCAGCAATTATTGCCTACTAAAAAAGTACACAAATTAGAGCATGCCTTTAATAACAAATTGTTTCTAAATAAACTTTAGATTTGATTAGTATTATGATACGTTTTATGAAGGGCTGTGTCTCCTTCCATTTGGCATTCATAAGAAAGATTAAAACTGCCTTCCTATAAAATTCTACATAAACAGAGCAATTTTGTAAATACCCACTTCCACAATTATATAAGTTCCAAATTCCATAATTATTATAATTTATAAATAATCAACTTGTACAAATTTTAAGTTCAAAGGATAAAAGAATAGATTTTTTTTTCTCTTTAGCACAATTCAGTTTTGTTCTTATTTCTCATCATTTGTTTGGTAACTCTTATTTTAAAAAATACTTTTCCTATTTGTATTTCTCCCTTATTTCTCTTCTCAAATAAGAGTGCATAGATTTAGTAATAGAACATGAGGATTTCTGTTTAAGCATCACTAAAACCCAGCATTGGGCATGAGACAAAGTGATATCTGGTGCACTGAAAAGTCTGCCCTATTAACAACAGAGGCAAGAGGAATGGATGTGGACAGCTGAAGGGAAGGCTTTATAACAGTCTGATAGAAACAAAATCCCACGCAAGGCAAACCTTGGTTTCCAATAGGCTCGAGTTACCACTTTACATAGGCAAGCCCCCACTCCATTGTAGGAACAATGATGTTGAGTCCAATTGGCTCCTCCTCCTTCTTCAATTGGCTCCTCCTTCACAGGTCTCACAAAGGTACAGACAAATTCCCAGCTACCTCAAGGCCCACCCTCTTTTATCTGACATTAAGAAGAAGGCTGTCCCTGCAGGTAGCTCCACAGAAAGAACCCATTTTGTACATCTAACATACTCTGAGATGAAAAAGAATAATATTTTTATACCGTCTTTTAGAATTTCCAGGTCACTGGATAAGTTTTTAAATCCTAGTCATAACCAGGTGCTTTCATCAAATATCCATGATATACCTGAGGCAATCCACTAAGTACTACCCAAATATATTCCAGACTTTTGGATGGGACCCTTGGCACCCTGGATCACTTTACTATAAAGTAATGTTCTAGCTCTAGACTCAGACCACTTCCCCACAGTACAATGAACTAATGTCCTGCCAATTCCAGAAATCTGGACGGGGTTTCCATAAATGTGAAAACCAAGAAGGGGGTGACAGCTGTGAACTTCCATTCAGAACTCACTCCTGTTGGTGGAGGATAGTTTTTCTGAAAGATCACTTATATTCTGGAAAACGAAATAGAACATGCTGACAAATGAGTTGCAGGGTTCAAGTTCAATGTCTTAGACTTATCAGTCTGTACTTTCAGAACAAGGAGGAACAGGATAATAAGCAGAAGGGTCCATGAAAAGCAGCATAATTCTGCCTCTAAGTTTTGAAAAACATTGTATTAAATTACCTGAATGCTACATAAGTGAATATTCAGAATACACTTCAATTACAATACAACTTACCACAACAGGAAGAGGGAACACTTTTATCCATTCATTATGCTAACCTTTCCTAGGTGTGATAAGAAAATTATCATTTTTATCTATAAGATAAGCCTTTAATTCTTTAAAAGCTGAGAAATCTGAGGTCCTAATTAATTGAATGACTTTCTCAAACTCATCCAGGGAGAAATTATTAGGGCAACAACTGTCTTCACAGCCCAGGATGCCCACTCTGGCATGTTATCTTTGTGAATTTCAAGTCCAAAATGCTGAATTTATATTTCTTAATCACTAAATCATTTTTTGCTAAATCTTATTTGCCTTGCCTATAAATTATAGTATTCCCAAGGACACACAGCTAGTCATCATCAACTGGGTTCCTTGTTCTGTCTAACACAGCATGTCTAAAGGAAACTACACACTTCCTCTGTAATTCTTCCCTGCCACTAGCCTCCTCCTTTTCAAAATTTAGGAATTATCCTGAAGGCACTGTCCCTTTTCATGCCTCTATACATAAAACTCCATGGTAATTGGACCTCCAAAACTTGTTTAAATCCATCATTTCTCTCCAGCATGGCATTCAACAGAGCCAGAGGAACTCTACAAACACAAATGAGTAGTCCATGTTATTCCTCTCTTAAAATCTTCCTTTGGCTTTTCACTTCATTTGGGTTTCTCCCAGTTCATCATTTGTCTCCTTGGTTTTCTCACATGCACGTTCACTGTTCTTTTTCTTCCTAGTTGTCAAGTACTTTCTGACTTCACCAGGTATGCCTTCTTCCCAGAGCACTTTCCTTCCCAACATTTCATCATTCTCTTCAAAAATACTTCCTCGTGTATAAGATTTCCCAGGCCCTCCACTCTGTTTAAACTAGGTCTTCCTCTGGCCTTCGGCTCTGGACTGAACAGTGGCTCCTCCAAACCTGCATGTTAGCATCTTAACCTTCAATGTGATGCTGGTATTTGGAGCTAGGGCCATTGGAAAATAATTAAAATTACATGAGATAATGATCAAAAGCCTTCCTGATGGCACTAGTACCCTTTAGAGAGATGCCAGAAAAATAAAAATGTCATCCTTCTCTCCCTTCCTCCTTTCTCATGTGTGAAGAGAACCTGCACCACAGCCTAGCCCAATAATTGTTACCTCTGTTTCCCACTGCATTGTTTAAACCACTGTGCTGATGCTCATGGCAGCCTCAGCCAGCAAGTACATCTTCTTCTCCACTTCTATATTACAAATACATGCCAAACAGCATCAGGAACAGAGATACTTGAAGATACAATAACTTAATTAAAATGTATTTCATTTTATGACAAATTACAAGCTATTAGCCCAACACTATGTGGCAGGTTCTACCATCTTCATCCTTAGCTTCCATGTTACATGCAAGGTCGTCAATTCCTTTCTCATAATCTTCTAGCCAGTAGGAAGGGATAAAACCTCAGGAGAATACATATGCTTCCTTTCAAGGGCACATTTCAAAAGTTGTGAAAAATAGTTTTCTCCCTATATCATTGTCTAGAATTTAGTCATATTAACACATCTAATAGACAATGGGTACTTGGCCATGTTCCCAGATGAAATCTGGGTTTGGCATTACTAAGACCAGAATAAACCCAGATGAAAACTGAGAATCCTCTGCATTCCCCTTCATATGATTATTTTAATGAGTAAATACATATTTGTTTGGTTGATAGTTATTAATGTCTGTTTTCTCTTTTGACAATATGTGTGATAAGGGAGGAAAAACATGTTTAGATAACCATAGAGTTCACCATGCCAAGCACAGCTCCTGGAGTACAGTAGGAGACTCTTAAGCATTTTTTATGATTGAATTAACAATCATATCAGCTCTTTAAGTATTATACAATCTGCTGTTCTACCCTCCTCCCCATATACTCCATGAGCCTAGAGATATGTAGCCCCATTAAATCCTGCCTGTTCCGATGCTGTCTCCACTCTTTGCCATCTATATTCTCCTTAAAACTTTCATCTTAGACTTATTAAACTCAACTGAGTTTATTTTCTTAACTAGATTTATTTCCATAGCTACTATTGCATTTACCAGTGCCAGTCACATCTTAGTGTTCTTAAAATTCTTTTTGCCTTGTTTCTATTGTTTAAACAATGTTACTTCCAAACCCTTAGTCAAATAGGCTAATTAATTTTTTATTGTACTTTGCCCCTCTTTTCTTCTCCTACCACAATTATGTTTACTCATTGATGCATCACTTCCTTCTTTCCACTCAGCAGTTACTTGGATATCTATTTTGTGGACTGTACTAATCAGCAAGAATGAAAAGTATATAAGCTCACTTTCAAAGGGGAGTTCAGAGTCTGCTTGGGAGACAGAGTAGCAAAATAGAAGGGCCATGCAACTGATGCTATAAAGAGATATGTGGAGTGGCAATTGTTATCTTATTGAATCATCTCATTATCATTGGATCATCTCAACCTTAAAGATAAGGATGTTGGGAATCAGAGTCAAAGAATTTACCCAAGGCTAGACAATCAGGAAATAATAAAAAGAGTTGCCAACTCAAGCCCATCTGCTAAGGAACTTATCTTGCCCCTGTGAATATTTGCCCCTCTAAAGCAAATAAATCCTACTTGAATGTCAGTTATTTTGAGACAGCATCTTAGTTCTGGTGCTTCTTCCCCATGTCTAGCAGCACCCAGCTAAAGTCACCTCCTACTAAAGCATCCTCAATGAAGAAATATAATGACTGCCTGTGTTTTTGCTTTAACCTAGGATTCTTATCCTAATAGTAGATCCTACCTGCAGTGTAGAATTTGTTCTGTGGTGTTCCCGTTGTATGGTGCTGGGAAGTACCTCAAAATCCTGTGGATGGAAATAATAATTATTCCCTGTTTTGTCTGTCAACTGAGGAGCTCTAACTCAAGATTTTACAGAGTCACACTCAGATGCTTAGAGGGACAGGAATGTTCAGATGGTTTTATTATTTATACTTCTGGTTCCTGGAATGTAAGATGGCTAGAATCACTGGAAATGGTCAGATATCTCCACTTGCTGAAGATATCTCAAAGCATGGCAGTCTCATAGCAGATGGACTTTGTACATGACAAAGTTCTGTCTGTTTCCAGAACAAACAAGCTCAAATTTCTTATCTATAAAACAAAAACCCCTATTACCATAATGGCTTTATTTAAGACTTAAAGAAAACCAACTGATGGTTAGTTTTAATTCTCAACTTGACAAAATCTAGAATCACCTGGGAAGTCCTAAAAAGGAATTATCTAGATCAGATTGACGTGTGAGCATATCTGAATTATTTTTATTATGCTGATTGAGGTAGGAGGACCCACCCACTGTGGGTAGCACCATCCCCTAGCTAGGGAATTATGAACTATCTAAGAGTAGAGAACATGAGATGAGGACAATCATGCATTATTGCTCTCTCCTTCTGACCGTGGATGTAGTATGACCAGATATCTCAAACTCCTGCTGCTCTGATTTCCCTGCTTGTGATAGACTGTGACTTGAACTGTGAGCTAAACTAAACCCTTCTTTCTTAAGTGGCTTTTGTTGGAATGTTTTATTACAGCAACGGGAAACAAGACAGTACCTACTTTTCATTATAAAAACCTAGCAGACACTACCTCTGCCTGTAATCAAGATCAGCACCAATTGTCACATTAACAGAATTTCCCTTAATATACATGATGAGAATCAGATTTCACATCTCTATCGTCTTCCCAAAACCTACATTCCTTCCATGTAATGAGAGAAATATCAGACAAATTGGAAGTGATGAAGAAGTCTCTGACCTGTCCTACTCAATACCATCAAGGTTATCAAAAAGAAGGAAACTGAAAACAACCAGGAAGAAGTTAAGAATTCATGACAACTAAATGTCATGCCAGATTCTGGATGAGAACTAGGTACAAGAAAAGGCACTGGATAAAACCTAAGAAAATCTGAATATACTATGTGCTTTAGTGAAAATAATAGATGAGAATAAGTTCAGTATGTTAACTATTAGTGGGTGTACCATCCTAATTTAAGATGCTAATAATATGAGAAATTGGGTTCAGTAACCATAGAGGCCCAGTGTTTCCTTGCAGACTAATCCATGTTGCAGGTGCCAGAGATGACAGAGTTCCCCTGCTCAGTCCTCACATGCCAGCTAGTGTCAGTGCGACTGACTGGCATGTATTCCCTTCATAGCCCTTAGAGCCTCATAAATGATTTTGCTAAAATAGGAAGATACACCATCAGAACACAGGTCCAAATACACACACAAATAAATAAATAAATAAATAAATAAATAAATAAATAAATAAATACAAGTTAATAATAAAATCAAACAAACCTCTTCTAATAAATCACACACCAATTTAAAATTTCTCACAAATTAGTCTTTAAAAGTTTTAAGGAGTAGAGAGTTGGCTCTGTGGCTAAGAGCTATTGCTATAAAAGTGTCTGAGTGCCTGAGTTGAGGTCCCAGCACCCATGTAAAAAGTTGGGTATAACCTCATCAACCTATAATCTCAGAACTGGGGATAGAAGATGGAGACAGGAGGGTTGCTGGCTCTTATAGGGATGCCAGTCTAGCTCCAGATTCCATGAGAGATCCTTTCTCAAAGGAATAAGGCAGAAAATGACATATCAGGACATCTGACGTTCTAGCCTCAGAGTACATACTGACATGAATGCTCATATGTACCTCCCATATTTCTATACTCTAACTCTATTACCATGATACTTTTCATAAAATTTCTTTAAATTTTATAAATAGGCCTGACAATGTAAAGAGTTGCTATAAATTCATAGAAAACACTTAAAAGACCATATATTTATGTAAGTATATTCTCTGTGCACTAATATTAGATAACATAAAAGCTCCCCACTGCCCCCCCCCACACACACACACAGAGTACCCTTTTTGGAGACAGTTTTAACTCTGGCTGCCCCTACTACTTATAATGTACCACAAACTGTCCTTGAACTTACAGCAATCCTCCAGCCTCAGCCTCCTGAATGCTGAGATTACAAGATTGGAATCTCCATGCCCAGCTCAAGTCCTTTCTCATATTTTTTTTTTGTTTTCCAAAGTGATTATTTGCAGCAGAGTTAGCAGCTGATAACAGAAATTATAAAAATTCTAGCTAAAATTAAAATGCCAAGGCTGGCTCATCTGGATATGAAGAAACTGATTAGCTCTGTCTCTGAAAAGGAAATGAAAACAGCAATAGAGGAAACTGCAAGTAGCAAGCCCCCTGTGGTGCTGAGTACCAACAGGAATATGATGAAGCTTTTGAGGGAGAATCAAAGGACCTGCCATGTAGGATTTATGAGGACTATCTGCTTACAAGACCCATGAAAGCCCCAGTGCAAGGGCCTTTGTTCTTGTAATCTATCAAAAGTACCAACACAGGTTCTGTTTGCTTAATTAATTGCACTGAGGGTAAAAAGTCTTCCAGGTCATAAATGGACAGAATAAATTCAAGTTGAGATGGATGGTTTGTGCACAGCTGCACTTGTAAAATGTACAAAATTTCTAATTTACAAGTGCCAGCAAATAGATCTAAACCTCCCTTCTACAGCAATTTATGAATCTTTACAGAAGCCTTTATTGTGAAAAAGAAGAATATTTACAAAGGCTCTTAAGCAAATTTCATTTCAAGAACTTTAGTAAATGAAATACAAGGCAAGAAGCCCTTTGTGACTGTTCTACCTGTCAGCGAAGGGTCTCCCTGGGAGGAAGATGTGGTTTGTAGGTGCCTCTGTGTTCCACTTTGTCTGGTGACATAAGTTCATGTTGGACTCAATAGTGAAAAGTTAAAAGCTGGCCTGCAACTGTGAGGATGCTAGCCCCATAGTAGTGTTTACCTAACAGGCACAAGGCCTTGGGCTCAGTGGATGGTAACACACACACACACACACACACACACACACACACACATGGGGTGGTGGAAGGGGAGACAGAGAGATGGAGGGGGTGAAGGGGGAGAGAGAGAGAGACAGAGTTAAAACACAACCATTTGGCTGTAGCTGGAGTTTTCCTGCCTTGCCCACAGTCAGGACAAAGATTTGTCACCCACCTCTGTCACCAGTCCCACAGCTGCTCAGACCCAACCAAGCAAATCCTGAGATTTATATTGCTTATAAACTGTATGGCCATGGCAGGCTTCTTATTAACTGTTCTTATAGCTTAAATTAATCCATTTCTACAAATCTTTACCTTGCCACGTGGCTTACCGGCATTTTCACATGTTGCTTGTCCTGGCGGGCAGCTGGCAGTGTCTCCTTCCGCCTTCCTCTTCTTTTATTTCTCCTCTCTGTTAGTCCCGCCTATACTTCCTGCTTGGCCATGGCCAATCAGGTTTTATTTATTGACCAATCAGAGCAACTTGACATACAGACCATCCCACAGCACAGCCAAGTGCAGACCATCTCAGACACCTGCACTCAGGTTTGTGGTCCTAATCATCCTCTATGCGGACCTGCTGGGCAAAGCCACGAGGAACCCAAGAACGGGCTCCCATAGGACATACAGAACATCCCACAGCATTTGGCAGCTTCATCTTACAAGACTGTTTCTCTCACTTTCAAATTACTGTAAAAATGTAGCCTATCAAAAATCAGCAGAATCCATAAATAAACACTTAAAGTAGTAACAGCAGTTAGCAAGTGACAGCTAAAACCTGATTCTCCTTGGTCTGGCCATGGACACTCTTTCTGACACATAGTACCCACACACTCCTGAAAGCTTTTGAAGTTAATCATTTACTTGTTCTATATAGCCCACTCTGCTTGAGGAAAAAAAATTGTATTATTTCTAGTGCTTCTGATACCATCCTTAGAGGTATACCTACCTGAGAGGGACTTTTATGTTGACATGCAAGTCTCTCCTGGCTCTGAGCACCATTTGTGTCTTGTTGACCTAAAGTGTCTTTGGTAGAGATGAAGAATTCAGAGTGCTGGCTTCATTTACAGCAAGAATTTCTATGCTGGGAACTTTACTTAATCCAAAATAGACTTCCCAGTGAAAAGTGACTACATCATATTAAAGATGCAGTAATTAGACACCAGTTGTACTTAAACTTATTGACTAAACCTCTTTTCAACATCACAAACTGTCTTATAACATGCACTTGACTTATGAACTGCTGCTTTGCCATTGTCTTATCCTCAGTTTACATGTGAAATTAATACATCTATTTTTCTAGTACCAAAACTAGGCTGACTAAATATTATGGTAGACTTTTATGATTATAAGAATGCACTGTTACTTCACTTTGATAAAACTACTGCAGATTACTGTAGACATCATAACAAAAAAATTTCTACAGAAAGTATGAAGTTCTTAAGTATTTTCAAGACCATATGGAAATACTAAGGTTACATGTTCATGGCACTATGGATACACATATTTAGTATGAAATTAATATTCTCTCAATGTCCTGTTTGGGGATTTAGTTTTGTTTTCAGCATCTTGACCAGAGTCTCATAATTTGAAGGGCTTTCAAAAGTAAGCATGGTTAAGCCTTTCTGTTGATACAACTGTATTTTGAAGTTTGTTTTCCAGGACAACTTACCATAGCTATGACAACTACTTCAACAGATCAGCCACTGAATCTCAAACATAACAGCAGCAAGTTATTCTCAAAAGTCATCTTTTTTAAAAATTTGATAAGATCTCATTGAGGGAGCAGGTACAACCTGCACCTCCCACCCCTTTATATACAGAATCTCAAGTTTTGGAACCTCCTGATCTAAACTCCAAATCCTAAACTCAGTCCAAGAGAAACCAAATCAAATCAACAGCTGACACCAGAGGGCCCGGGTCAAATGAGAAATACTTAAGAGTATACCTCAGGAGCCCTGTGCATGAGTCCACCAGGAAGCAGTAGACAGAAAAGGAGGCATCTTGAAAAGTGCTTTGAAGAACATCTTATGGATGAGTGGGAAACAGGCATCTCATAACAAGGAGTGTTATGGTTCCAGACTTAAATATCAGGTTCCCAGCTGGTTGAACTGTTTGGGGAGCTTGAGGAACTTGGAACTGAACTGAAGCAGAAACCATGGTGTAGTGCTACTCACTGGCTTGCTTTTCATGGCTTGCTCAGCTTATTTTCTTATACAATGCAGGACCACTTGTCCAGTAATGACAGCATCCACATTGGGCTGGGTCCTCCTACATCAAGTATTAATCAAAAAAATGCTCCTGCAGACATGCCCACAGGACATTCTTATAGAGGCAAGTACTCAGTTGAGGTACTCTCTTCCAAAGTGACTCTAGTCTGTGTCCAAGTAATAAAAACTAACCAGCATACTTGGGTATCTATCATTAAGACAAGAAAAATTAGTAGTACCAGAGCAGGAGTGAGTATAGTGCTGAAGTTTAAGCATCGGCAGTGTCCATGGGGAATCCACTGTTACTGGTTTAAAGGTGGGAGGAGGAAAGAGCTGTTGGCATAATATAGATTTGTGTGACTTTGCTTGAGAGAGTGTTTTCTAATATATGTCCTCTAGAACTGTCCCAGAATACCAGTGAAAAGTGTTAAGTACAAAAGGAAGACCCATATGCCAGGTTAATGGTAACAGATGCTGTGGCTAAGGACAAAGACTTTGGAGCCATTGCTTTCGTTTATTATTGCCCTTTCTTCTCTGGCTCTGTGACCTTAGACATGTGGCACACTCATCCATGAAGTAGGCAGAGTTATAGACTACCTTGAGGTCATTATGAGGATTAAAGGAGTTAATTATTTGTCAAGGGTTGTGCATGAATCTGAAAATGGATAAACAGCACTTAAATCCTTAGTAAACAAAATAGTGGCTGTGGCAGTTAGGCATCATGTCTCCACCAGCAACACCTGCTCTGGCTTCCAGACTTAAAGGAGCCATTCCTTTTAACAGAAGGCCACACAGAGGATAACTGAAGTCTACAACTGGAGATCTTAACCTTGCAACTTGTTCTAAGGAAGAGCTCTAGTCTTGGCTCCGGTATTAACTGAACTGAACCTTGTGTAAGGCGGCATGAGGTTTATCCTATATGCACTGGACTCCCCTGAAGAAATTATATGGGAGTCTTTTTGTTTGCTTTAGTAGACAGTTTATAACAAAAAGCAGCAGATAGATGTGTATAGAGCAAAGCCAAAAGAAGAGATCTCTCCCTCCTCAGGGCTCTCTGATTAGCCTTTGCTGCTCTGAAAAGCAATCTTTCCTTTTTATAGGTGCTTCAAAAGAAATACAAGGTTATTAAGACCATTTTTAATTCACATAGCCCAGATATCTTTGGGTAACTATGTCATAATTACTGAGTTATGTATCCAGACTGTATATAAAATAAATTGTTGGGTATATATGAAGAGATGAAAAATGAAGTACAATATTCCTCATAATTGCAGCTACAATCACCTAAATAGATCATTAAAATTTTTACAGGAACACATTGGATAATACTTTGTCTCCAGCCTAAACCTATGCAGCCCAAAGGTCATCCAACTTCATTTGTATGACTAGCAAGACAAATTCATGTTGGACAATTGACTGCATAAATTTTTTAGGTTTCATACTATAGACTACTGACTTCTCTGACCAAAAAAATGACAAAGAGGAAACTATTAATTCCATCAATTAAATAAGCATATGGATTATGTGTGTAAAACACAAAATGCTTACTGTTAAATTCAGTCATCTCAATCAAAAGTATGGATTCAAGTTTATTAAAACTTAATTACTACAGCTCACTTCATTTAAAACCTCTTTTAAATATTTGCAATTTAGACACTATACAATTCTTTTAAACAGAAATTTTAATGTCTCAGTATATGCTTCACACATGAAGCCATCACCCCTACCTATGTATAAATTTACCTATAAAAACAAGGAATGAGAAAGCTCATATAAAATATAGCTTTTTCTGGATAGAAATCTGAAAAAAAATAAACACCTCCTAAAATGTTTCATTTAATAAAACAATATTTAAAAAAAAGAAAATGAGAAAGAAGTAATGTGCTTTTTCTACAGAGACTCACAAAAGGCTTCTGGTGTCATGAGTTATTTTGTCTTTCAACACAACCCTGCTTCCTCCTGGGAAGTTCTAAAAGCTTTGGTTTAAATTTTTCAGAAGCTTGTTTCATGTCAGCATTGATTGCCACATATGCCAAATGATCCATTAAGGGTGTTCCATTGCAGCTTGAAGAACTCTGGGTTAAACATACAGGATCCTGCAGCCTAAGACGCTTAGCAAATATGCAGCTCACTTTCCATCTGATGGAGCTCTGAGAGCAGATATTATCCACAGAACATTTGCTGCATTCGAGCACACATTGATACAATACCACAGAACTTTGCAGGGCATGTGGATGTTCTGATCCCCTGAGACCGAAGTCTGTCTGTACTAACATTGTGGAAAGCTAGTCAGTTCCCACCATTCACCTATGGGATCTGAGAAGAATGTTTTTTGTATGAACACCTAGAGATCTAAGGTATGTTTTTGTATTTTCAGGAGGACTTTGTACATGCCAACCCTCTTTTCTTGTCCCACACCTCCAGCAATTTGTCTTAGGTCCTTCCCAAGAGAGCACTTCCAGGATATGCACACATTTTTATCTTAATTGTGCTGGTCAGGAAAGTGTTAATTATCCCACTTTTGATTACAGACAAGTGTCCCAGAAACACCCCTCCAACTAGAATTACATAAATCCTGTCTGAAATTTTGCAAAAAAATTGATAACTATGTGTCACTGGTTGTGTCCTGAACTCATGACATTGAGTGGGCCTTGATACTGTTTCACCACATGAGCCCCAAAAGCTATATAGAGTCAATGGTGCAATCATATCCCGTGGATTTTGAATAAGCGCCATGTTGAGAAAGGAAGACATTTGATATTACAGAGGACAAACTAAAAGATGCATGTCCTAAAGGCTTTTATTTCTTGGAGAAAATTGAGACAAATTGCTTCTGGAAAGTGCAGTCCATATACATCAATCCTTTATATTTTGCTTTCTTTCAACTCAGTCACTCAAGAAATCACCAGACTTTGTTTGACATTATGGGAAAAAAAAAAAAAGCAAGAGCCCAAGTAGTTTCAGAAAGGTCAAGCATAGGATATCGAGGGTGTGAGCATGCTTGTACTTTCTGCATAAGTGGAAAGGAGTAAAGGAACATTGTAAGTGGGAAATAGTACAATGGACGAAATCACCAGGATTGGAATTGCTGAGGCACATTCAGGAAAGAATGAACACCTGCTTCCCTCAGTGGAAGCTGTACCTCGTGGGTAATTAGGTAGGCTTGGTAAGGGTTCATGAATGTTAGCCTGGGGAATTTGGAATTTATTGTACAGACAATAGGAAGCCACCAAATTCTCTTAGAATAATGAAAACTACATTCACTTATCTGAAAGTACAAAACAGACTTGGATGGGTGGGATAAAATGTGGAAAACTAAAAAGTGATAATGATCCAAATGCCCTGAGTGAACTTCTCCCTTGATGTTATATGATGTTTGTTCTCAGAGAAAAACAATGTGAAATTGTTCTCAACCAAGTCTACCCTCTCTCCTTGTCCCAGAGCTAAGAGTCAACCTTATCCCCCAAACATAATATCAAAAACCCCAAATACAGCAGGAAGGTGGAAGACAGAAGAAAGCTCATTTTCTCCTGATCACTTGCTGAAGAACAGCTGGATAAGAAGCCTATCCCTTTAAGAGAACTGAATTCCCCTCAGCTGGTAAGAACCCTTTTAAGACCGGTAAGCTTTTATTTGGAACATAGCCAGCCTAGCAATATCTAAATTGCCCTGGATAACAGATCTCAATTCATAGAAGCTCCTTATCAAAGTTACTAATCTGTCCAAATGTAATCTTCTTCTTGCCACACCCTGCCCCACTGAAGCCCCTCCCACATGCCTGTCAAGGTTTAAGTCCCAAACTCTGCCTAAAGCTATATTAGACCTGCCAGCCTCATGCAAGAGCCGCGCACAGAAGCCTTCTTCCCCTGCTGGCTAGAGTTCTCAACCTTACTAACACTGTGACCCTTTAATACAGTTTTTCATGTTGTAGTGATCACAACCATAAAATTATTTTTGTGGCTACTTCATAACTAATTTTGCTACTCTTATGCATCATAATGTAAATATCTGATGTGCAGGATAATGGATATGCAACTCCTGTGAAAGGTCCATTCAACCCCCAAAGGGGTCATAGCCCACAGGTTGAGAATCACACTAGCCCCCTCAGCCAATGCTGGTTTCAGCTTGTCTCTGGCTGGTGTCCAGTTACCACAGAGGCTCTGAGGCATTCCTTGTTAGAGTTTCTGTCAGCCAAGGAAGTGGAGGAGGGAGAAAAATCATGCAGAACCAAAACTTCACTGTGAGCAATGTGAGAAAGAAGCAGGTATCACATAAAAGCAGTCATCTTCTGCTGACCTATCATAGGAAGGACATATAGCTATGTCCCTCCAGAGGAGAAGACAATGTGCAGAGCTTGTCCACAGGATCTGGTGATAGATAAAACTTTGTCCACAGAGTTACATCCTAAAAGGCCTTTATCATACTGCTGGGTCCTAAGACTGAAATTCATGCTCTTTACACAGGAAAAGAAACCGTAGAAAGAAAACAAGGCTTCTCCATCAACCTATTTTTCTAAAGTGATTCAAATTGAGTTACTGGAGAAACAGATTACTGGCCCTCAAGGATTCTTCATGACCAAGTCTGGATCACTGTAATACAAATGTGGAATTTGTACATCATAGTCTATTTTATAAAATACTTGCATTTTAAATGAAGATGAGAGAAGGCAATGGCCATAAAAAATGGAAATGCTAATAGGTATCAGTAGAGGATAGAGTGGATCCTGAGAGACATTGTTTTATTCAATAATCACCTATATAATACCCTGTCACATAAAAATGAAGTTTCAACAAGCATATCCAACCCAAAGTCCTAAAATTGAAGATGTGTATGATCATGATCCACTAGGATATTATAGAAGGGTAAGTTTGCTGTAGCTCTTTTACTTCAAACTCATTAACTGTGTTTTATATATTGGACACTGACTAGAGTTTGACCAATTGGGGGCTTTATTTACTTCAACAATTACATTTAAACTTATAACTAGGTAATAAACAAAATGTTATGGAATTACATAGGAATGGCACTTGACTCAGAAAATGGAATTTGGGGAAAAAGACTACCTAGAGGATATGGTTTGGGGATTGGGTGCTGACAAGGCTAGAAAAAACCCAGGCATTTAAATGTGAACCATGGAGACAGCTACCACGAACACAAAGGCACACAGAGGTAACAGCTCATGAATCACACAAGAGACTGCTAATCATTCTACTGAGGTGGGACTTTAGCACAAGGAAGCTGGTAAGAGGAAGGCAGACCAGGGTGGTAATAGAACACAGAGCACCTGCGCACCCTGGTGAGGTCCTGGCTTTTGGGATGAACAGAAGTTTAAGATAGAACTTGTGGTGCCAGGTCTGTAGTAGTATTCTTCACTTTGGTGTCAAAGCTGAGGACAGCCTGGGCTGGGGCAGGCACAGAGGCAACAAAAGGAGGTGAGAGGCTGGGGAATTTTCTAAAAAGAAAAGGACAGAGGGCTAAAATGCAATGTAAGAAATGAAAAGATAGGAACCAGGTCAGCTCCACAGAGCTGGACATCTGTCAGGTGAGGGGATGACCAAGACGTCTGTAAATATTGATTGTACAACGGGTGTAGGGTGATAGCTCTCCTAGATAAGTTTTGTGTAGGCAGGAACATGGGGATTCAGATTTGAAGATTGCAGTGTAATTCCCCTAGGAAGAAACTTCAATCTTAACCTCAAAGGCTTACTTTCCTACAAAAGTGTTATACTCCTTCTGTCAAACTATGAGGCTATCATTCACAAAAAAAAAAATGATAAAACTCAGACTTAAAGATCTCTCTCCCCCTCTCTCCCTCCCCCTCTCTCTTTCCCTTCCTCTCTTTCCTGTCTGAGTTACTACCCCAGTCTCCAAGAATATTTCCCACAGATGCTAACTTTTGAATTAGTGTGTTCTATAAGCATATTTCTCACAGGTAAGTACTTCGTGCTTTTTTTTTTTTTTTTTCAGAAAAATCTTCCCTTGTTCTATAACTCTGGAATTTACTGAAAATCTGAGTGCCTGGGATTACTTAATTGAATTTTTTTCATGATACCTCTGTTTTTAAATTTCTTATTCAAAATATTTTCATACTACTCATCTATCATGTAGTGGTGTGGACAGGGAAGAGATGTCCCCCCCCCCTTACACCTTGCCACTCTAACAGACAAGGGAGCTGACCCTCTCCCTTACCAGTTGCAACACTCGGGAAAGTAGGCCCTGCTCATCACCTGGGCAGCACAGTAGAGCTGAACCTGTTGGTGGAGGTGCTGGTGAGCTGGCCACACCTCCCTTGTCTGCCATATGGTAGTGAGGGTGAGCAAAGATGCCCTCCCCCGACTTGCCCCTGCCAGCTGACCCTCCCCCTTTCAAGTTGCAGCTCTCTTCATGGTGCCAAGCCTCAACTTCTTTGCATGATCGCTTCAATCCTGAGCCTTCAACTGCTACCAAGGCAGCACCTTCACCAAAGGCCTCTCCTGTCCTCTCACAGTGCCAAGCCTCAGCTGCTCTCTATGACCCCTTCGTTACTTCACAACCAGTACCACCTGGGTGACACTTACACATTAACAAGTCCTGCTGCCAACATGAGGTACAACCATAGCTGCCTCTAGGACACAGCTTCTTTGTGCTCTGAGAAAACACTTCCCAGAAGATTTTACCTCAACTATGCTAGTCTCTTCTTAATCACTGCTAATTCCTTAGCTCTGGCTAACCAGCATCAACTGTCCCAGTAACATAAAGGTTTCACTTTAGGAGTCCTGGTATGTTAATCACAGCTGATTCTTCAACACCAACTAACCAGAACCACAGAATTTTAACTTAAAAATAACAAATGGCCCTGATAGAGTCTTTAAACCTCCCTCTGAAACATCACAAGTCAGGCCTCCATCTTCTGCACTGCTCTCAACATTATCTTCCACAGAATATCGCACAGAGCTCTTAACACTCAATGGCTTTTCTAGCTCAAAGTTCCAAAGTCCTTCTACAATCCTCCCAAAAACAGTCATGTTGGTCACAGAAATACCCCCACTTTGCTGGTACCAATTTGCCTTAGTTGGGGTTTCTATTGCTGTGACAAAACACCATGACCAAGAAGCATGTTGGGGAGAAAAGGGTTTATATGGCTTACACTTCCACATTGCTGTTTATCACTGAAGGAAGTCAGGCCAGGAACTCAAAACAGGGCAAAATCATGAAGGCAGAAGCCATGCAGGGATTCTGCTTACTGGCTTGCTTCCCCTGGCTTGCTCAGCCTGCTTTCTTATAGAACCCAGGACCACCAGCTCTTGAGACCACCCACAAAGGGCTAGGCCCTCCCCCATTGATCACTAATTGAGAAAATGCCTTACAGCTGAATCTCATGGAGGCATTTCCTCAACTGAAGCTCCTTCCTCTCTGATGACTCTAGTTTGTGTCAAGTTGACACACAAAACCAGCCTGTACAGTCCCCTTCACAGTTCACTGGCTTACTGTAAGTCTCCCCCTCTGTTATGGTTGGCCTATGAAATGTTCCACTGCCACATGTGTTTGAACACTCAGTCTCCAGCTGGTGGTGCCATTTGGGGAAAGACTTCTGTAGGAAATATGACTGGCAAAGTTTGCTTACTCTGGCAGACCCTGAAGTTTAATACCCACTTCTGCTTCCACCCAGAACTCTCTACCTCCTGGTTTGTGCCTACAGCCAAGTTCCCTGCTCCACTCACCTACCCACTCTAGCCACCATGTTTTCCCAGCCATGACAGACTGAATCTCTGAAACTGAACAAAATTTAATTTGTTTCTCTGGGTATCTGGTCACAGCCATGAAAAATATCTAACATGTTCTTTCTATCATTGCTCCCCCTTCATATTCAGATGAAGGGAATATTCGGATGAAGGGCAGCCAAGGGAATTGTTCTTCAGTCGAGTCGGCAAAGTGGCTGCACTTGAATCTACTGCTTTTTCAGCCAGTAATTACAGGCTCTGCAGTTACTGGCCCACTTCTCAGGCAGCAGTTTGACAGGACTTTTATGTTCTGCCAGATCTGCCTCCTGCCACTGCCGCCAAATGTAATTTTTAACTAAATCTCTATCGTTCTATTTATCAATAAGACTCAGAAGTCAGAGACTAGGGTAAAAACCTGCTAGCTCAGAGAGGTTGAGGAGCAAGTAGCTGACCTTCCCTCTTCACCAGTGTCTCAGAAAAAGTGTCCTTCTACTCCATCAAACCAAAAAAGACCTCCACATTCAAAGTCCCTCCCTACTACTTCCTATGCATCTCTGTGTCTCTCTATCCCTCTTCCAGACTCCCTCTGACTCTCTATGATTACTTTCTGTCAACTAGTTACTGGCTCCACCTCCTGACCCAAGGTTGATTTTATTTAATTAATGCAAATACAAACTTGGGATTCACAGTGTGTTCAAATATCTTACAACAGGGAATCCTGTGAAATCACCAAGCCAAGTTCCTTTGCTGAGTATTCTCCAATGGTTTACTCTCCCATTTAGAAATCAAGCCAGTGTCTGCAATATGGCCTGCAAGGCTTTTCCTGTTTGAACCTGACTTGACACAGTCTAGAGTCATCTGACAGGAGGGAACCCCAGTTGAGAAAATGCCTCCATAATAGACTGTAGGCAAGCCCTTAGAACATTTTCTTAGTAATTGATGGGAGAGGGCCCAGCCCACTGTTGGCGGGGCACACTGGGCTGGCTGTCCTGGGTTCTATAAGAAAGCAGGCTGAGCTAGCTTTGGGTGGTAAGCCAGTAATCAGCACCCCTCCATTGCTTTTGCATCAGCTTCCAGGTTCCTGCCCTGTTTGAGTTACTGCCCTCACTGCTTTTAATGTTGAACTGTTTCAACATTAAAATAAACCTATTTCCTCCCCTAGACACAGCCATATCCTAATCCTCTCTCCTCTCTCTGTCACTGTCCCCAGTGGGCAGCACTGGCTGGGATGTCCTTCTGCAAAGGGTCTTTAGCACTAATTCATCCTTTATCTCCCTCCACAAACACTTTCTTGGCACGACATCATCTGTCCACTCTATTTAAAACTGAAGCACAACACTCTTGCCCAGAGCCTTCAAAGGCTGCTGACTGGCTACTAATTATGCCCTCTTCTCCTGAGAACATAAACCCCGTGAGGAAAGCTATGCTTCTGCTCTGGTTTGTTTGTTCGTTCACACGCCTGGTACTGAATAGGCTTTCAAAAAATGTTTGTTAAATGACTATAATTGCATAGTAAGAATTTTTTTTATAATGAAAAAGAGTTTCCTGTATTCAGCTGTATCCAGAGAGAAAAATAACTAAAGTCAGAGGAAGAACTTCAAGATAGCTCATGGGAACTGTTTCACACGATGCTCACTGAAAGACCATACTGGGACTCCTCACTCACCATTCACACAGCCACATCTCAAGGGTCACATACTTCCCCAGTTCACATACTCGTTCTCGTTATCTGAAAAGCGGGTGTAGTATAAATCTGACCATCTCTTCCTCCTGAAATAACTGTGACAATCACAAGAGTGATCCGTAGCTTTTAAGTCCTCACAAATGGTGGCTATTATTATTACCTGATTCATCATAGAGATCACCTTTAAGCAATAGCTAGCTACTTCTAGCAACCACTGGAATAGAAAAGCTCTCCCCTACTGAAATGTTCTAATCAATAATAAATAGAAAACAGTAAAAGTAGCTGCTTTGACATTCACCCCTCAGTATTTCCAGACTGACCACATAGCATTTCCAGTAATAGCTATCTATTAATCATGATTCATCAGCAAGATCACTGTTAAAGAGGTGTGTGTGGAAGACCAGATGCACTAGAAACCTACTAACATGAACCAAGACCGGGGAGGTGAAGGTTACCCTCCTCTCTGGAATTACCTTGAAACTCAAGATTCCCCACCTGAATTATGTTCCTCGCCATCCCACCGAAGGCATTCTCATTCCTTTCTGTTCCTGCAATTCATGATGTTGTTAAACACACAGCCAGTTTTACTCCATGTCAGCCACACTGTTGCCCTCCTCAACACACACAAGTAATATTTAGAAAGTCTTATTTTTTTCCATCTCTCCCTTTGAAACCATTAAGACTAGTTTTGTCTAGTCTCTTTGGAGAAAGGGTGGTAGACTCCTCCTAAGCCTGTGTATTGTTTGTAACAGGGGCAGTATGGGTGAATTAGATCAAGACTTTGTTGTTATACTGCTCAGCCCACTGTAGTCTAACTAGTTTTAATTTTGTACAATCAACTAATTACTAACAGAAATCTTCTATAAAAAAAAAATCCCACTAGGATAACGAATGTGTCAGCTTTCCTATGTACTAAGTCAGGTTTGGTTGTTATTAAATTAGATAATTATAAGGTTATAATTGTTATATTCTTATTTTTCCTTCAGGATTCAAGATTATTCTTTTTATCAAAATGTAGGTATCCTCTTCAGTTTTGACAGAGGGGTGTGTGTATGTGTGTTGTATAAGACCCACACTGCTGCTAGGTGCAAAGATAAACTTACTTTCTTATGGTTAGTATTTATCTGATGGTCTTTCTCTAGTCTTCAAATTTCAATCATTTCTTAGCTATATTCTCATAAAGTTCATTCAGCTGTCTTGCTCTTTGTTTCTTCTTTCAAGTATAAAGAATTATTTAATCTTTTCTAATAACCACTGGCTAAGAAATCACAAACTTAATGTGAATACTTCTCCCATCTTGTTTTATGCCTTAATTTCATCCTTTCTATGTGTCTTTTTTGCCCCTCCTGATTCCTAATGGTCCCATACAGCTTATTTACTATTTTATTCTACATATTTGGAAGGCATAAATCCTATTTCTCCTTTTAGTGGTTAGGTTTTTTTAGACTTTGACAAGCTATGCCCATATTTGGTTACACAAATATACAGTAATAGCTCTGGGTATAGGTCAATGTTAGAACACATGTTTATCATGGCTGAGCGCCATCCCTAGCACCAGGAGGAGAAGGAGAAGGAGAAGGAGGAAGTGGAGGAAGAGAGGGAAGAGGAGGAGGTGGCGGCAACAGTGATAGTATGGGCAGGTGTCAAGAATAGTACCCAGCAAAGGATAAAAATATCAGTGACGTCCTCCAGGCCCAGCCTGGCTATCCTGGAATCATAGGGTCTTCCACGCTCTTCTCAGTGCAGTGTAAACAGCACTCCTGTCAGACACAGTGCGGCCACAAAATCTCCGACTTCACAAATTATCAACAAGAAACTCTAGGGTTTATTTATAATGGCAGCACACTTAAAAGCCTGCTTTAAATTCATAAATAGTCTCTATGTTAGGACCTCAAATGAATTAAGTCCAAGCATTCCTTTCCCATAGTACACTTTATCACTGGTTGATTTAAATAACTAGGTATGTAGACAGAGAGATAGGAAGGAAAGCAAGTAGAAGGGAACAAAAGAATGAAAGCACAGGTGGAAAAAGAAA